AACCATACCAGATATGATCAGCTTCTTAGGGAGACAACCTGGCACAATGCCAGGCGAGTGACAGAACAGCTCTGTCTTGACTTCCTCGTCAAGTGGCGAGGCGACGACGAGAATGGCCGCGATCAGCTTGACGAAATTCTTCGCGAGGTAGTGGTTCTCTCCGATGATTCTGACGAGGAGGACTCGGACGAGGAGCCTGAGTCCGACTCGTCAGAGGTTCTCATCACCAGGTCCAACAACATTGGCAGATTGTCGACACCGGCCGTAGCCCAGAACGTCGCTAACCGCGATAAACGCTTGTCGACAGCGATACCGTCGCATCCAGGATCTCCGATGCTTGTTGCCACGCCCGGGATGTCCAGGAGGGCTTACAAAAAGGCACGCAGACGGGCCAAACATCGTGAGCGTAACTTCAGTCGTTATGAGGCTGCTGCAAACGCTGCCTGGGATAACGCCAGACAGCGGCAGCGCGGGCCCGATGATCGCATGAACCAGGCGGGCAGCTCCGTTAGTCACGGAGCGCATCAACAGGGTCCGCCTGTTGAATTCATCGAGAACAGAGCCCCCATGGAGCGTATCAATCATGCGGGTTCGCAGATGAGGCTGCCTCCTGCACCCCCCAACAACGCAGGTGCCCGCGCTCGAGAGAGCCACCAGCTGCAAGATTTCCTCCACCCTTCCATTGAGCCAAGATCCCCTGACGGCGTGAGATCACCATCACGCTATTCCCATGGCGTGGTGGAATTCACAGACCGAAGAGGTCATGAGCTATATCCGCGTCTGAACTCCCCTCCCCGTGGCCCACTGATACGAGAGGAGCGCTATGTCCATCAAGCCCCCATTCACCAAAGCCATCCCATCCATGCGAGACCTTTGCGTGATGGCCAGGACATTGTTCAGCCGCCTGTATTATCATACCGCAATGTGCCACAGGATTCCCATCGGCCACTTGTGTATCAGCAGCCTCTGCGAGACCAGAGCCCTCCCCGACCTCAGGTTTACGCTGATAGAATCATCCACCGAGAGGACAACCTGAGACGACGTCAAGGCAGTGTTCCAGGAGAGAGAGCCAACCCCATTATGATTGAGGATCACAATGTTCACCAAGGTACAGTCGTTCTTGGCACAGGCGAAAGCGTCCGGGACAGATTTGGCCCCGACGTTGAGATTCTCGCTGTCCATCGCCCCGGACGTGATCGTGGCCATCATGGCCCGGATCCACAACGTTTCAATTCAATCGATGAAGGCTTCATTCGCTTGCGGGAGAACAATGTTGATCAGCGGAATGGATTAGCAGAGGAGGGCTTCCTCCGGCTTAGAGAGCGCCCTGTCGTCGAACCCAGACATTATGCATATGGCATTGATAGACGTTCTCGTCTCGATGACCACCGGGCTACACAACAGTTACAGCCATACCGAGCAGCTGAACCTTCAGGGCAGGCTATCTACGTTAGGCGCGTGGAGAGACCGCCGCGAGCTGATGTATCCCATCCAGCGCACAACTATGAACGTGTGGAAGCGGTCAGAAATGACAGCCTTGCTCAGCGCGGAGTCCCGTCGCCCGTGTACGGCGGAGCGTAAGTCAAGGACTAAGAACACTCGAAATCTACCAACTAACCCAGTTAACGCATAGGCAATATGAGCATCAGCAACATCATCCGATGCAGGGAGCATACGGTGTTCCCGTCCATCGACACGCCATGCCAGCCCAACAACTTGATGACCCTTTCAGGTCCGACAGATATCGGCCATCACCACCTCGCGCACCGCCGCGCCAGTGGCCGCGCGCCAATGACGACGTGATCGTGCTTGAGTAGGTAATGGCTGTGCGGAATAGATTTCCAACACTTACCATGATCGGAATGGTTATGCAAGCATGTGCGAAAAGGAACAGGGACGACAGCATGTATATGGAGTACAGGGATTACAAGCATCCGTCGACGAGGGTTTGGGTTTTGAGAATCGTCGTGGACGGACGGGCAAGGTATAGTCATTTTTTGTTGTAGGACGGAAGGGGTTGGTTGGTCATTCAGTGACAGCTTGGCGAGGATGCATGGAAGGAGTTGTTGTTAGATATGATACCCATGGTCGATGAGCAAAAACTGCTCTCGTCTGCGTCTTAGTGGCGGACTATGGATGGGACGGCCCCATTCGAATGAGAACATGTTAAAGAACCACATTGCCTTCATCACACAGAAAGTGCCGTCAAATGACTTCGCGATCAGTCGAAAGTGACCTGGTCATTGAGCATTACCCTCCATTACAGATGCCAAGCTCACAAAAGCTCGGTCCAGAATTGCAGTTGGTCACAATACTTCGGTGTCCTGCACGTACACAGGCTTGGTGAGGTGGTAGAAATTTTGTCATGATGTTGAGGCTTTCCATCGGGTCTGCGGCAGGCAACCATCAGCCGACCACGCCATCCATTATCGAGAATGATGTCGATACGAAGAAGAGACAATGGCAACTTCCTCTTCCAGGTTCTATCAAAATCTTAAGACACTGTCAAAAGGGGTGGTGATACTCATTGTGGCCTGGCTCTCGAACCGAATTGACAAGGTACTCCAGTATTTCAAACCACTCCATCGACCGCTCCTATATGTATGAACCATGGGTGGGCTCAGGAAGGCTGAGCTCAGTCAGTTCTGGCTCTATGCCATCCATGATTGCACATACCAAAAAGAGTTCACCGCCCCCCCTCCCCCCCGGTGCTGAACTGGGGGCTACATCTCTTGCTGCTCATGCTGGGATTCGAACTCGGGTACTCGCTAAGCGTGCCGTCGAGTAGGTTGGTTGGCGTACGATTGATTGTTGACCATGAACCACTCCGCCACCCAGGCAGTTTGACCTGGCCCGTCGACCTAGATGGGCGCGGGCTGCCTGGTGACTGGAAAGGAGTTGAGGGGGTTTATAAAAGATGCTCCGGGAAGGTAGGAACCTTGGGGGATGGGGGCCCCGTGAATACTCGATTTATCATACGAGGTACGCTTGGCTATGAAATGTCTGTGGGATAACTGCCGAGCCCACGTTCCTGGATTGGATAAATGTGTTTTATTCCCATGAAGTATATAATAACTCTCCTATCGGGTTTATAATTGATGCCAACACCATCATCGTTTCTAAACCACGCGGAGTTGCAAACACGGTGACTGGAACTCGCTTGAATGCGCTTGCTGTAGAGAACACTTGGAACTGCGCTCATGTAGGTGGTGTTGGGTTGTAGATATCCTGTTACATAGGCACTCTCCGCGGTCAAGGTCCCTTCTTCTCGCCCCCTCGCGCTTTGCTGGTATTCTCTCACCAATACGCCCTATGAGACAGACGCCGCTACCGATCGGTGGATACCGAAGTGAGTCTTGCTTGTCACGATCCCATTACGGTCTCTAAGCACTGCGGTGGTCACAAGTGCCAGATTTCCCTTGCCCCTGGAGACCCGCGCATGTGTCTTCTGCTGAAACAGGAAGGCATCACGCTGGAAAAACAAAACAGACTTGAGTAACGTATGACGACTTTATGCTACAGTTAATCCGAGTTCCAGCTAGCGTATCTTGAAGACTTTGCACCGTTGAGTGCGTATCTCGGGACATGACATAGACACAAGTACGCAGCGACTTTGATAACTCAAAGGTCGCGAAAATCTCCTTCCAGAGCCGAGTGTACCCATCGTCAATGAACACCAATCGCCGAGCAAGCCATCACCATCCTGTAAAGCCAAGATTGAAGTCATGTTAATGTGATCATCAGCTCATATATATTGAACCCCTCTGAGAGTTGATTCTAGCAGCCAAGTAACGGCACATTCCGTAAGAATGCAACGGTATAGTTGATGAATCCAACAACAAAAAGCAAACATGTCAAACCTTTCCCGCCGCCCCTAGTCTAGTTTCATATTGCCGCGCGCGCAGAGATGGAAATAGCTAAGGTACTATAGATAAACGTGACGAAAAGAAAAGACATGCTTCCAAACCTCAACTCCATGAAAATGCAACCAAGAAAGTTCCCCTCGCATGCTTGAAGCCCCTTGTATCATCGAAAACGTAAAGGTAAGAAAGATGTTGCTAAGGATAAACGACGCAGCCTAATAGACACCCCATCATGATGCCAACATGGCCTGCCTCGTCCGGGTCGGCTGCTGCGCCTCGGGCTCCTCTTCCTCTTCGCCCTGCGGGGTCGGCAGTTTCGTGTCGGGCACCTTGGGGAGCTTGGGCGGGTTGCGGATGGCGTCTTCGGCGGCGACGCTGGCCTCGAGAGCGGCGAGCTCGTCTTCGACTTCTTCTTCGTCTTGGACTGATATACGGCCGCCGAGCATCTCGCTGACTTCCTGTAGAGTGGGTAAAAAAGAGCGTATGTTAGCCAAGGTTCCAAAACACACATGAACCTAGCACCAAGGCGGATTCCATACCCTTTGATAAGCGATAGCATCAGCCGTCTCGCCCATGAGCTTCTCCACGTGCTCGATGCCGCCCATCTCGGAGTGAATCTCCTTGAGCACCTTGGTACCCTGCTGTAGACCGAACACGACGTCCTTCTGGATCATGGCGAACTCGACCGACGACGTGAGCTTCTCGAGCTGCTCGAGCTGGGCATCCGTCTTTTGCAGGAGGGACTCTTGGTATTTCTTCCGGCGGAGGGCGAGCAAGGCGCGCGGCTTGTCGCCCTTTGCGAGCATCTGCTTCGCGATGGCCGTCTCTTTATCTGTCAGGACCGTGATGCGGCGCTGGTACTGGTGGAGCTTGTCGCGTTGGAGCTTCATGTCTAGAATTGCCCTGAAGGAGGGAGAGGTTCAAAGGTTAGCGAGAGTAGTTTACATTGTGAATGTGCGTGGTGGGATGGACGTGCGACGGCGCATTGCGGATTACGCAGCGTCGGCGTCGCATGCGCGCGCGCGATATTGCGGTAGGATCAAGAGCTCGGGGACGTACTTGTCCTGGGCGGTGACTTTACTTGTGTTGCCGCCCATTTTGGAGAAGAGGATGATGCGATGCGACTATGCGATTCGGTTACAGTGTTGAGTTGGGGAGGAAGTCAGAAGGGTGGCCGACTTCGTTGCGAAGAGGGTGCGTGTGTATGGCAAAGGAGAAAGGCGAACGAAGTGCCCGTGAGGTAGGTGTTTGGTGCACGAGGTTTCGGAGGTAGTTCGGTCGGTCAGTCGGACACGCGATACCGGTGATCGGTGACGGAGGAGGAATGGAGAGTCGGTCTGGGTCTCGTGCCTGAACCGGCTCGGTTTCGAGCCGCAACGCTGCGACGGAGGGTGGACTGGGGGCACCGCTGCGAGTGCTCCGAGGGTGGGCGGGCAGTTCGTCATTGCTCTTTCCCCCATGTATCAGGTGGGGGCGATTGCGGACCCTGATAAGATAAGAACGTTTGAGGTTCCCAAAACCTACCTTAGTAAGTAAGGTACCTTAAGTTACGACGAGCGCAGCTAATGTGTCTTAGGTAATTCATGTTACCGGGCCAACGCTTTTGCAACTTCATGCCTCCAATCCTCTTGCCTACCTTACCTTACCTTAGTTGAGGTATCGCCGACTACATCTCTGTTGGATGGTGGTGCAATGGTGTACATCATGGAGTGGCGACCACATTTCATGAGCCGTTTCCACTTTAGCATCATCGGCTGGGCTAATGCTGATATCGAACGCAATGACAGGCATGAAAATACCTCACTCAAGATGATTTAGACAATTACAGTTGCCATCCCATAGTAGCGAGTGAGACCAATGGATCTCACTTGCATTCAACACGACATAAAAGTCCGGCTTGCAACGCTTCCTCTTCCTGCATTCGCTCTAACCATAATGCTAGCTGCAATACAGATAGATATGTACACAGCCGGCCACCAGCAGAGTCAAGCCAAGCCAACCCTTCACAGATTAGGATTCCAAAAGTCCACCACCATATCCTCCAACAACTCGGGTCCCAAGGCCGCCACCAGCTCCGCAATGCCAGCCTTGAGACATCCGCTCACCCCGACGTCCTGACGCTCCCACGCGACAAGATCGCCAGTCTCGAAAAGAAGTCCAGAGCCATCTATCCGCAGCTTGATATGGTCCATCTCCTCAAGTGAGCGGATCTCGTCAAGCGACAGGATGCCCGGCATACCAGTGTTGAACAAGAACGTGTCGTCATCGTGGTCATTCTCCTCATTCTTGGGATCTTCTGTAAACTCTTCTTGGCCGGCCGCAGGCTGATCTGAAGTATCCTTGGCTCCTTCGGCAGCTGGTGCGTCGGCTCTCTCCTTTGATAAGCTTAGGTACGGCTTGTTGTCCAAAAGGTCCGTGACTCTCTTGTCCATGAGATCCCAAGCCAGCGTCTCGGGATCCAGGATGTACTGGGGCGTGTAGTCCATCTTGTATCGCATCTTGGGACAGCTGTGAATGTAGAAGCCGGGATACCAGTAACGATAGCCATCTTCCTGTGCCAGAGCAATCTCACGGATCGCGCCCAACTTCCCTGGTGCAAACTTGTGGATGGACTCGTGGTAAAGAAAGTATACGGCGGAAACGCAGTGAGGGAGCAGATCCAGTACACCAATGGCTACCAATTCACCATCCAAACGGTAGCACTGATGGAACGAACCGAGCTTTTGCTCTTTGCCGTCGGCCGTCGTGATTGTCTTGCGCTGGACCGGAGACTCGCACAGAAAGCGTTGGAAGCCGCGGCGAGAGATGTCGGCCGGCTCCTCCCCATGAACGACTCGCTGGTAGTTCTCATACACTAAGTACTTTTCCTCGGTGAAGACATCATCTTCTAGGGTGACGGTAAAGACATGGGCGGGCTCTGGAGGCAGCTGCAGGGAGTCATATTCCGCCTCGTGGACCCTCTCGATCAAGTCGAACTCAGAATCCCGTTTCTTTGCCTGCTCGCGTGACCGAGGGTGGAGGCGAGCTGCCTCCTTGATGTAGGCATCGCCCGTCAGGTATTTGTTGAACCGGTTGATGGTTTGTCGCTGATCTCGGGTGGGTTTGAACTGGGTGGAGTCCAGGCGGAGGGTGTAGTGAACGCAGCACGCGTGAAGTTGGTCCGGTCGGTAGAGGGTCGTCCCGGAGCGCCTCCAGTAGTGATCCAGCAAGGTTTGATAGTATTCAGGAGTAAGGGATGTGGACTTGGCATAGTAAGAGAAGCCTGTCGAGTAGTGGCTCAAGTTAGTGACGGATCAGATCAGGGAATCCCACAGTGGCCGACCGCAAGTCACTATTCCGCAAGCCCTTGTGCGGCTTACACGAGACGACATGGGAGAAAACGAGGGATGGCATTCACGTTTTGACTGACTCTTGCCTTGGCGGCCACAATAACCACAGCGCGACGAATTAGAATATCCTAAGCTTGTATTAGCAAACCATATGGTGTGAAGTCTTGTTCAGTAGTAGCTAGCTAAGCGCAATTCCCAAACCGCGTAAAACTGAAGATGTTTCTGAGATGTGAACATTATTGAATGGGAACAAGTCTCGTAGCGTTGAGCCTTAAGGTCGAATAAGAGCAGAGAACAGGGGGCTATGGGAGCAAATGAAAAAGCCAATCGCGTGCCTTCGGGTTCAATGTACGTATAGTGAAGACACATCCCGAATTTTGGAGGCAAATGGGCTGGCAAGCATGGGATTACGCATCCATGCCGTGCAGACAGACCCCCAACTTGATCCGACTTCGAAGGATTGAAGTCAGGTTTGTGTGACTGAGAATGGGATGCAGTGACATCGATCGGCGCAGATGCACGAGGGAAAAAAGGCAACTAAGCCAGTTCCAGACCGACCAAGGGAGCTACCCCATAAAATGCCACGAGCCAACGGCGGCTGAGAGAAGTTGCACGGGGGCAGATGGTTGGAGGAGAGAATAGGACGAAGGACTCACCGATTGGAGTTATATAGGACAAGGCATCGCCAGGGGTCTGCATGCTTGTGTCGTCCATGACTGTCTGGTCTGCTGCGACTTGCTCGCTCTACTAACGCGCCAGGGAAGCAGCCAGCTCGACTAGTGCTAGGCAAGCACGAAACGTTGGCTGATATTTGAAGTGATCGCTTCCGAGGCGGGCACGCGGGTTGACGTCTAAACGCCCGGCGAAGAGGAGGGGTACGCTATGTATCTTGTGACTGTGATGACAAGATGAGAGTCGAGGGTTGAGTCGCTGCCTTTCTATCCCCTCTTTGACGGATGGCGCTGTTCGGCTAGGGATTCGACTTGATGCAGTGAAGCCCAGTCGGGAAGTGTACTTGTTGGTGGAACTCTCACACCCCTTGCGGCATTGGAGTGGGAAAGCGTGGGGTCGCGAAGCTTGAGATGGAGTGAGGGGTTAGTCGCGAGACACGACCTAACGGCCTTTTTCTTTTTTAGTTGCAGCGCTGTGAATTGCCAGCTGGTTGGCCGTGACGTCTGTTGTCTAGCGCTTGGCGCAGTGCGGCCTGACAACCTGGAAGACAGAGGAATATGAAGTGAATGCGACGCGAGTGAGGCTCTCCCCTTGGAAATATGAGGAGTCTGCCTGTGACATGGACCGGTATTTATTTGTAGTCTGTAGTGGCCAGTCAATATCCAGTATGTGACCTCGAATAGTCCCCCCAAAAAGAGGTATGACGACGTTGCGTTTGTCTGCCTGCTCGCGCGCTTGCCTCACCTTACCGCCCCATTTAATTGTGCCTGCTGGTCCCAGTCTGTTTGTACCTTGTCTGCCAACGCAGACACTCTGCTCTTTGACTCGAACCAGCTCGTCGAAGCCCGTGTAAGTTGAGTCGGTAGACGTTGACCCTCAATGTGCCGGCTCGGCTTAGCTATACGCCGCTCTTTGTTTGCTGTGTGTATCTGCTGGTCAGTCGCCCGACGACGATGGAGGCACGGGTATGCAGGAGCTCAGCGTCTGGAGCATGGGTAATGCAAATGTGCAGCGTTACCCTACCTCGCGGCAGATGACTACACCATTAGGTCTGCAATCTCGGTGGCCCGAAGGGATGTCGCATACGACGTGCCAGGATGAGGTGGCGGCGGCTCTGTCGGATCGGAGAATGACGCGAGAGAGGCGCCTGGATGAGAAGTTGATATGCGATAGCTTGAGTAAACGGTACGGCTTCGGAATTTCAAGCTTAAAATGCTACTGATAGTAGCAGTCGAGTGAGCGTGCCAGCTGCAGCATCAGGAGGCAAGACCAACCGAAACGGGCCCCAAGGTAAGCAGGTAGCAATGAGGCATCGAGATACGATCGGCGGTGAATGCAAGTGAGCTATGGGGGTGTTGTATTTCGTCGCATCGCTTAGGGTTGTATCTGGACCTCCCTCCTGGAACTCGATGGAAGAACAGAAGCTGCGTTCCAGTGCACGCACCCGCCAGGTCGAATAACCTACCGGCTGAGGATTCTAAACCTGGAGGTAGGTAGGTTCGGATACTTAGCCCTTCGTCAAGGATCTCAAGGCTTACGGATCGCGATGGTCAGCATCGGACTAACTCATCAAGAAGGTCCTTCGTTGGCTGTTCAACTCGCACACGGTGGCCTTGAGCGGAAGTTGCAACCCCACGTCAAAGTCCTATCCTGGATGCGAAAGTGTCTTTTGGTTGGTGAATTACCCGTAACATGAGTGGCCAGCGTGCTTCCAGTTCTGATGCAGTGTGGGATGTATCCCGTCAAACGTCTGAAATACAACCAGCTGCGATAGGTGTGAGTGTGGCCGCAGCCCTTCCCTGAGCTCGATGTTGAGCTACCTCGCTAGAGAGTCAAAGACGAAGGATTTTGGTTTCATTTCAGCCAGACACTGGAGCAGTAACCACGCAGTCTGCGCGTTGTATCGATGATCGTTAAATTTAGTCCTGATGCTCTGTGATCATTGTTACCTGTCCATACTAAGACAATTTACACCGGAATTCTCAATAGGCCGCAGACGTGTTCTTGAGCATAAACGTCGTTGTGGATGACACTGGCAGGACACATCAGAGCTCTCAAGCCAATCAGAACCTGCCGCAATGAGTTCACTCTCGAAACCAATTAGTGCCCAGAATGTACGACAACACCTGGACTCCAATTGAACTGCCATAAAAAGGCTCCGATTCTAGTGTGATGGTGTCGGTGATGGAAGGCTTTGGCAGCAGCCAGGTAGCTGTTTGATCTTGGCGTATGAGCTTATAACTCTTCGCTGAAGGCCACCTCGCAGGCTCGTTCTCAATCTAGCCGACGCCTGAAGACAGTGCCTGGCTACTGAGAATCCAAAGCGAGCATGCCAATATCGCCAGCATGAAGCTGCCATCCTGCAGCCAGGCAGCTTGCGGATGAGTCGGTCCCCGTTGAAGATTTGGCATTCACTTCCAGGTAGTGCCCCCAAGAGAATTAGTTCTACGCAATCCTCAGTCGGGGGCGGGGGCCCCTTGTTCAGCCCAAAAGCAAGTCAACCGGTCCCTACCCGCCAGCTGTTCGCACGTCAAAGGAGGCGCTTGAGTTGACTAGAACCGTTGTTCGGTTCATTGCGCCCCTCTGTTGTCTAGGGAGACTTTGTTCAGCAAAGAATCCCACTGGTCTTGTCGAGTCAGAGGAACCTATTCTTACAGATAGCGGACGCAAAGCACATGGCGAATCGAATAGGTCTTGCAAGT